TATTAGGCGGTCGGAGAAAGTTAATGGGGGGGAGCCGAGAGAGAGAAATCTTCGTTCTTGCTCAGTTTGGTGCGGTCTGGTGACGGGAAACGCGGGGTCTCGTTACGCCGGCTGAAATTCCCGACATTTTCCGCTAAATGTCCGTTTCGTGTTAATGAACGACTTATCTTCATATTTGCTGTCACCACGTGCACGGGCCGGAGCTAGTTTAGAGAAGTTGGCCAGCAGAGCTAGCCGACTATAGCGACTACAGAATTAATTGAGACCTCGCCGGCCTATCTTGTTATCCGAGTAAATTCTGAATTCCTGCTAACTGCTCATCGGTGTGGCTCATCTCAGAACGAGTAGTTCTGTTTAATTCGAAATGCACAGGGAAAATGAAGATGGAGAAGAGACGTCGTTTAACCGTTCCCTTCACAACTTTTCCTCCTATCTCTTTCTCTTCCTCTCTGGTGTCGTTGTGAATGAAAATTGCGCGTTGACCATTGTATATTGCAACAGCAAAGCACGGAGTACACGTAAAAAAAGGGAGGAAAAAGAAGAATAGGGGAGAAAAGGAGGAGAACCGAGCAATCTTTAATCGCGTAAATGTCCCCGTTCGTGCTGGCTCGGAAGACTTTTCATTAAATTACATTGTCCAACGTTGTTTCCCTTCTGATTGCATGTTCAGATTGCGCGCTCGCGACCACACGCCAACTCGGTGATACTGTTACTGTTCATTACCATTCGTAACGTGCTGAAAACGCTTTCGATGAAGAAACGATCCACGGTGAAAGCAAAAGCGACATCTTTTTGGAGCATCGTGAATCGTGGTCTACATGGAACTGTGTTGAATTGGAACAGCTGATTGAATTTTTCGAAAAAGTGTTTAGAGTAAAAGGAAAGATAGATTAGCGTGAAAGAAGAGTGTTTGGATCGAGTATGTGAAATTAAGGTGTGAAAGAGGATCACCCAGGGATTTGTGTGCTTACTACCCTTTATGATCTTTTAAAAATTTCTGCATGGAGTGAAGTGCATAGAAAAATAGTTCAGAGAGTCTAGAGTTCGAGTTTAATATGAATTAATTATTGCTTTTATTTCGTGTGAGAGAAACCTGTCTGCAACTTAATATCCCTATAGCGTTGCAGATTTCTTTTTTCACTTACAATTGCAATCAACTGATTTTACCAAAATATTTTAGAAATTTCACTAATTGAGAGTATGTTTTTTTATTTTTAAGTTCACTTTTTCAAGCGTTGACATTAACAAAGTAATGTATGTTTCGATGTGCTTGTGGCAGTTGCTACCAACTTTCGAGCTTTGTCGAATTTAGCACGTGGTGTGCCGACTAAATCTAATGGTTCGTCTTCGAAGGAGCACCTCCGTGATTAGGAGGACAAAACAATTGTTGCTATTGGTCTAAACTTCTA